CGGAGGTACAAGCACTGTTGCTTGCTTTACAGATGTTTTCTAATGATTGTGTAAATATTTATACTGATAGCATATGTGATACATGCCATTATGCCTTTAAAAACAACAGCCTACATAAGGTAATCAGAGGGCTAATGTCATTACTCATTTGGCTGTCACATTAATTTGTTCTGCCTTTGAAAAGGCTACTCAGTTACATCAACATTATCATCTTAATGCTGGATCTCTTTGTCATCACACAGGCATAACCCGGAAACAAGCCATCCAGATAGTTAAATCATATCCTCTTTGTGTTGAATTTTTACCTGTTCCTCATTTGGGAGTTAATCCCAGAGGACTTTTATGTAATCAGGTGTGGCAGATGGATGTCACACATGTGCCTTCCTTTGGAAAATTACAATATGTCCATGTGTCTATTGATAAATATTCCTCTCCAATTTTTGCCTCTGCCCTTTCAGGTAAAAAGGTTAAAGATATAAAAAATTATTGTCTTCATGCTTTTGCTTATATGGGAGTGCCAAAATACATAAAGACTGATAATGGTCCCACCTACAGCAGTACGGGATTTTCAAAATTGTGCCAAGATTTTTCTATTGTTAATAAGACTAGTTCTGTGGGATCCCGTTCTCGGGTTCCTTGTGGCTTTACCCAGCAGGTCCACAAAGAGGATGATTAGGTCCATGGGCTCGAGTGCACGTGTCTGAGATGGTCTTCACTTGGCTGTGCTGTGGGATTGTTTGTATGTCAAGTTGCTCTGATTGGTCAATAAATAAAACCTGATTGGCCGTGGCTAGGCAGGAAGTATAGGCAGGACTAACAGAGAAGTGAAATAAAAGAACAGGAAGGCAGAAGGACTCACTGCCAGCCACCGCCAGCATAAGCTGCATGTAAAGATGCTGGTAAGCCACAAGCCACATGGCAAGGTATAGATTTGTAGAAATGGGTTAATTTAAGACATAAGAACAGTTAGCAAACAGCCTGCCACGGCCATACAGTTTGTAAGCAAAATAAGTCTCTGTGTTTACTTGGTTGGGTATGAGTGGCTGTGGGACTGGTGGGTGACAAAGATTTGTCCTGACTGTGGGCAAGGCAGGAAAACTCTAGCTACAAATAATAATGCTTATAATCCTCAAGGACAGGCTGCAGTAAAACGCTGCCATCATACCTTAAAAACATATTTTGCTAAAGTAAAAAGGGAGAGCTGGGAACTCATCACTCCACTTCACATTCTATTCTTTCCCTTGTTTTATATATTTTAAATTTTTATCAGTGGATTCTGCTGGAGCATCTGCTGCAGATAAGCACTGGAAGGTTCCTATTACAAATCATCCTCTGATGCGATGGAAGGATCTTTCTACTAGCACTTGAGGGGGCCCAATCTGGTGTTGGTGTGGGCCTGGGGATGTGTTTGTGTCTTTCCACAGAATGATGAAGTTCCTCTTTGGGTTTCAGAGCACTGTGTGTGCCCTGTGGCTGCTGCTGAATCCCAAAATGGCAGAGACCTAATTGGGCCTTCGTGAAGTACTCTCCCCTTCTGATTCCAATGGGGATTGAGAGCCCAATACAGCCAGCCTTGGCAAGCATTAATGTAAGCCAAGGAACTGTAGCCATGTGGTTGGATTCTCCAGAAGGTAATGTATGGTAACTGCTTTTTCAAGTATGTTTGAGAACATGTCACCCAGACACCTTGGAGATTAAGGATAACCCTGAAGGTCACTGACTTCCATTTGTTAACAGTACCATGCCAGCTAAGACTTTTCATTTTCACAATTCTCTTCAAGCTGGTGTAGTACCTACCTTTTAAGGAGTGTCTCTGTGCAACATTTATTGGCATCCTGAAATTCATCTAGACTCCTTTAAAGATACCTTAAAATTTGTGAGCCTGAATGTAGCCATTTTGAAACTATTAGTTCTGCTCCTTGTGTGCTGTCTGTTTTTCCTTTTGTGGTTCTTAGTTGTTCTTTTGTAGAGCTTCCAGCTTAAGTCGTGCTGGAATAAAAACAATGGGCCTTGGTGGTTTGTGTTCCTGGAGCTGTGTCCATGCTAGTGGACCATGGCAGTAAGATACAGATGGTGCTCACATGCTCCAAAAGAGAATTTGACATCGCTGCTGCCTTGTTGCTGTTATAGTGGTGGTGGCCACTGCTGCTACTGTTTCTGGGATTGCTATTTCATAATTGGTTATTATAGCTAACACAGTGGAGACCCTGGCAGCAAAAGTAGCTACCACAGTTAATTAACCTTCCTTTCTATTGGGCATGATAAATTTAATTCAACAGTTATATGCATTTTGATTGGTGTTAAGTGTTATAAAATTTATAAACTCAAGTTCCACTTGCTTTTGGGATACCATCTTACAAGAACTCCAATTTGCAGTAAGGCTTGTTTAGGAAGGGAATGGCTCAATAGCTTGTAGCCTACTGGCTGTGGGTGGGTTTAGATTTCTGTTGGTCTTTTCTGTGTCACACAGATTACAAGCCCAGCGTCACTTTGAGATCTTTGGTAACAATTAACTCTGCAGCTCACACATGGTTAATCCTGTGTGATAATGAGAATTCAGAGATGGGTAATGCCTGGCGGGCGCTCACCAACCTAAGTCAGAGCGCCTGTGTAGCTGGGGCAGGGGTCTCTATGACAGATAAGGTGACCTGCTGACGTCCCACACAACCTAAGTCAAAAGCTCATTTTTTAGTAAAAAGCAGGTACCTGTAGGGCCCTGGCCCCCCATTTTGGGTAGCTGTTGCCTTGTTTGCTGACCTTGAACATACATCCTCCCTATGCTGACTCCCTGATGGTTTCCTTTTTCCTGAATGTTCACTGGAGATTCTTTGTTCGTGTATCCTGCATTTGGTGTAAACAGCTTAGATGCAAGAATGTAGAACATTCAGTAGCGATGTTCTGCCCTCTGGGGTTCCTCCATTGTGCTGTAAGCCTGTATTTAAGGTTTTCTGCCTCTTTCAATAAATGATATTCGACATTCTGCTGAGGTAAATGACCTGCTGTCCCTTGTCTCTGTTTTTTGTTCCACAGTCCCTTGCTCAGACATGGTAAATGGGTGGTGGTGGTAGTGTAGTCACCACTGCTACAAGGTACAACTGAGGATGACTGTGTTATGTGTGACAAGCTTGTCCCAAAAGACAAGGATCGCTGTTTTCTATCCTATGTAAAATGTGCAGGTCATAGGGGTCAGAACATGAACAACAGAACACTCAGGACATGGAATAGGACAGTGGTCTTCCTAAGATTGTCCACAATGTTCTTGGGAGGGGCTGATCACCTCTACCATCACACACTGTCTAGAGTGGGGTGTAGAGAGTCCTAGTTGGTTCAGAATCCAGAAACCTATAGTCCTGGGCTCTCTATTAACCAGGGAGTATGAACAAGGTTCAGTGTCCTAAAACCAACCCAAAGTGGTTTTGACAAATAACAAAAACACTGTGGCACCCATGAGT